AAACTTGCTTCTTTCACCCAAAGATTCACCCAAAGATATATTTTCCTCATTTTCCTCACAGGAGTTGCAATCTGATTGGGGATGGCTGTATCAGAATCTAGCATTATGATTATCACCAGATAACAGAATTCTATCAGCTTAAGGTTTTTTTAAATATATAAATATATCTTACATATGAATAAAATAATAGTAATAGCAACAATTGTAGTTAGTCACTTAGCAGCATGGAATTCTGATTGGTCGTATCTGAGTGTGACGCAAAATTCAGCTGAGAAGCTGGAAAAAGAGTTTCTAATTCTGAGGAACAGAAACTGAAATTGTTTCCTTTCCTATATAAAAGAAACTACGGTAAGAATTGTTGCTGTTATGGGGTGGAGCCAGAGATGCCGGCAGGAGCAGGTAAAAGAAATCACTCTTGTAGGTAGATTAGTACTGTAGTAAACTGAAGATTAGTACAAATGTTGGTGATTGCTACTGCTATCTATAGTAGTGTTACTGTGTTAATTTATTTTTATGTAATTTTATTGCATTGTATGTCTACTTTTTAGTTTTATTAATAATTATAGGGATATGTATTTTTATTGTAGTGTTTTCTGGCCTAAAAGCTGTAATAAAGGTTTCATTTTGAATGGGTCTTAGAGGGGCAAGCAATACAAGCATCACCTAAATTTGCCCCCTGCGAGGGAGGACTGGTGCAGGGTGAGACTTTAAACCCTTTTCCTAATATTGTAGTCCGGATCTAAAATTTTAATTCTGTGAAAGAGAAAGACTTTTGACATCCTTCAATGTAGTTTATTTTCCTTTGCACTTAAGCATACTTTGTGGACTATTTTCTAGGGTTCTAATACTAAAACAGAATATGATTTATAGCACAAACATGTAACAATTTAACTGTCACTTTTGCACCTAGGGTGGCAAATAGAACCAGAGAAATTTTTGAGGAATTACACTCCCATAAGATGTCCAGACACAACTTATATTCTGTACGAAATGCAATGGGGAAGAAGTTGCAAAATGTGGAGGAACTGGTGTACCAACAGCCATTCCCAACATGCAGAAATCAATGCTTTGAAAGTGAATGAGGAGATACTGCGGCAGAGAACAAGAACATGCCACATCACTTGGTTTCTAAGTTGGAGCCCTTGTGGGTTATGTAGCCGCTCCATCATTCAATTCTTGAAGGAACATCCTAATGTGACGCTGGAGATAAGGGTAGCTCAGTTGTTCAGACCTTATGACTACCGCAACAGGAGTGGCCTTAGGGACCTAGTCAATTTTGGAGTCCAAATATCCATCATGAGTCCATTTGGTAAGTTAATATTATTATGCCAAACTTACTCACATAAGGACACTAAGTTTCTGCTGCAGCCAAGGCACCATTTCCCCAGGTTGAGCTGAGTCCCCAGTGGGTGAGTTGTAGAAGTTTTCACTTCTGTTTGCCATTTTATTGCTTAGTGTGTTTTAATGTGCTGTGTTATTTTGTATTACTTATCATTTTTTTGTCTTCTGCACACCACCCAGATCAGCTAGTTTGAGTTAGGCGGCCATATAAATGCATAAATAAATAACATTTAAAGTAGATTTTCTCAAAATTTGTAATAGTATATTTTTTCTTCCTCTGGCTTGATGTTATCATTGCTGAGACTGGCATTAAAATCTTGAAGAATTAGGAGGAAGTATTCATTAATTCTGCTTGGAATTTATTTAGATTGATATTATATGCACTAGAGAAATATGCTTTTGTCCTCCAGAATTAAAAGTGGAACAAGCAAACATTAGCTTTTTTTTTTTTGCTTGTGTCCTTTACTTAATATTAATAATTTTTAATAGAGTTAAAATGAAATGGTTTTCAAAAACTTGGAAAGATCCTACATCATAACATAACTGGTAAATTATATAGATCATGTAACTCGCAATCACAAAAATGACATAAGGTACATCATTCATATCATTTGCATGATGACATCATGATGTGCAGGATGTCACTTGCACCCCACAGATGCCTATGAGCAACTAAAGAAGTTTGTATGCTAACATCTATCTAACATCTATCTCCACTTATAATGTTAAAACACTTAAAAGACCATCTAAAAATTGTATACATCTTTGTTGTAACAGCCTAGCTATTTTACATGCTTTGGTAAATATATGTACGGTAGCATGAATATGGGAGGGTTGCCAGTACAAGAGCAAAACATGCTGAAGTAAGTTTTATCATAAAAATCATTATTAAAATAGTTTTCATAGCTTTAGTGAAGTTCTTATAACTGGACCAGAGCAGAAGTCAAGCACATCAGTCTCTAGATTAAAACTTTGCTCCTACATACAACTGACCAGCTATTTATTTCTTTAGATTATTATTACTGCTGGAGAACATTTGTGGCTCACCAAAGAAGAATGGACAATCGCTGTTTTACATCATGGCATTTCTTATTCTCGATGTTCCTTAAGTCTCTAGAACTTAACACAATCCTGAACGAATGAGTAAATTGTTATTTTGAAAGAAAAGTTAAATTCAGAATCAATGGGAGTGCCTAACTGCTAATACTTTATTTTAGTGGAGGAATTTGGTTGTCTTTCCCTGAAAGCAGCAGTTTGCCAAGTCTGTTCATTAATTTATCATACCCACACACACACACATTTTCCAGTACAATAAAAATGTACAAAACAAAACAAAAAAGATAGAAGATAGAGATAAAAAGAATAGAAATGAGGGGAAAAAAAAATATACATATGCCTTCCGCCCTTCTTTCTATCCAGTAAAATTATAATCTAGATCTTTTCCACAATCTCTTTGTCCCTTTTAAGTCCCCAAATCCTGAAATTATCAATTCACTTCTCTTCTTTCAACAAAAAGTCCATATAAGGTTTCCAGTCAGCCAAAAAAGCCCTTATAGTTTTTTCTCTGACCAAACTGGTCAGCTTTGCCATTTCTGTCAATTCAGTTTGTTTTATCATCCAATCTTCCACTGTGGGTATTTTATTGCCTTTCCAACTGTTTGCATATAATAGTCTTGCCACAATTACCATATACATTATTAATTTCCTATATTTCTTTTCTCATTCCTTGTCCATAAAACCTAGTAGGAATAATTCTGGGTTCATCATGATGTTAATCCACAGTATCTTTGTATGCATTTGCACTTCTTTTTTAAAACTTTTTTACAAGTACACTATGCATGATACTTCCAACACTGGTTTGATGTTCCTTTGTACATTTTAGACAATTTAGCTGGTGTCATACACCATCAGTACATCATTTTATAAAAATTCTCTCAGAATGTAAATTTAACACCAGTTCAGCATGTAAATTTAACACCAGTTCCCCACATTTTCTGCCATATATCCATATTTAAAATTGGTGGCCATTTCATCATACAATCTTCAACTTGTTCATCCTCTGTTTCAAATCTTAGTAATAATTTATGCACTTTAGCTATTATATTATCATTTTTTGTACATAACTCTATTTCAAATTCAGTTTTCCTCTTCTCAATTCCAGTTATCCTTTTATGCATATTAAACCTCTCTTTCATTTGATTATAAGAAAAACATTGGAAATAATGTCCTTCTACTGCTAATTGTTCCCTTGTTTTCATCTTAATTTCTCTTTTATCTTGTATTAATAAATCCTCATATGTTAACTATTGTTCTTTACCTGCTGTTTCTGTTTTTCTATAAAATGCTTCTTGTGTGGATGACATTAATGATATCTTTGAACACCGTCTGGGTTTGTATTTATCCCATATTCTTAATAAAGTGTTCCTCAGATAATGAATCTTAAAAATCTACATTTACTTTCACTTTATCATACCATGAGAAACCATACCACCCAAACCTTAGATTGTGAACTTCCAATTCCACCATTCTCTTATTTCTTAACAATATCAACATGCAGCAAAATACAGTTTGAGATTAAGTACCCCTAATCCTCCTCATTCTTTTGCATCCTGTACAATCTTATATTTCACTCTTGTTTTTTTTTCTCTTGCCATATAAACCTTGATAAATATTTTTGCTATTGTTTGAAAAGTACATCATTTTTCAATATCAGTATAGTCTGAAATAAAACATAATTCTAGTTAGTGCATTGATTTTTATCACTGATATTCTATTGAACAATGATGATTTCAACTTTTCCCAATTTAACAGGTCTTTCTTAATTTCATTCCACAATTTAACATAATTATTCTGATAAAACATACAGTGTGTATTAATCATAGTTAACCTAAATATTTTACCTTTTTTTCATTTTAACACCAGTTTTATGCCAAGTCCGTTCATTCCCCTTCCTCCATATGTTGTTTCAGAGGGCAGCACCACAAGAGAGAAGGCAGACTGTCTAGGTCCCATCTGTTAAGCAGTACCATCTCCTCAAGTTGAAGTGGCTGGCCAAACTGAGTTGGCCTACTTCAGTTCTAGGGTTTGAGCCCAAGCAACCCAATTTTCTGAGTTAAGACAATACTTCAAATCAGATTGTTGTGATTCTCATAAGTGAAGCAATGGCTTGAGGCAGAGCAGAGTTTGAGTAAGGATCACTGACTCTTCTATAATAACGGATAGTACTGGAGCAAGGTAGAAGCCATGCAACTTTTCAAAGGTAAATTGTCCCTGCCTCTTTTCCTCTTGATGGGCTTGCTCCTCTGTCCTCCTTCCTGTCTCCCACTCCATCATCTGGATATTGGCAATACAAAGAATAGTATATTTGAGAAATAACTGATCCACATATATTGTAGAAGGCAAAGGTGTCTCATAAAAATCAATTATTGTTGTGGTTGTTGCAGGATTGCTTTTTTTATTTAAACAGCTTTACCCCCTCCCCCTCTGCCAAGCTTGTTAGAATCCACTTCAGTAAATTCATAAATTCTGTAAATGCATTCATGATACTTAGTTAGACAAGCAGACAAATTCCATTTGACGAAACACAGCTTGTGCTTTACTCAGATTCAGCCAGCACGGCACAGCGAACGCCGCTGCTCAGTTTCACCGCCCCTAGTCAATATCACCTCCCCAGGCCCAGGCAGCAGAAAAGAGGAAGTCGGGCGAACCACAAGTTAATTGCCGGCAGGTGGCGGCGATTAACTCAGGGCAAAAGCGGATACTTTGTGTCACAGCCGGCTTCCCTCAAGCGCCCCAGGCAGCGCAAATCAGCGAGCAATCAAGAATTCCCGGCTTAGCCTGCAGAAGAAAGCCCAACGAACTCAACAACCCCACAGACAAAGGACAGCAATCAGAGAGACAAAGAAACACGGCGGAATCTGCCATTTTGGGCGAGGGGGAAATACCCCGGGCAACTCAGTAACCTAGGCAACGGGGAGAAGGGCGGGAAAGAAGGGGTAGCTCTGGGTCAAGGAGGGAACCCTATAAAACCGCTCTATGTAGCCGCGCCAAACCAACCCTGACTTTGTTTGTTTTGTGACCTGCATCACACCCGAGTAATAAACTTCTTTTGCTGAACCTGTGTTTCGCGAGAGTTTCATTCGGCGCTGAATGTGGCAACTCTTACACTTTAGGCATTGCTGTGGCTGATCTAACGGCCTTTGATAGCATCACACCTTTATCTAAACCCCTTGGCAGATTTTGAAGGAAAAAGATAACATTTTCAAATCATATTTTATTCAAAACAAATTATGGGCAACAATGCAGCATCTCAGAAAGGACCTCTGATAAATCCATCACATGTAGCTCCATGCTCTGTATTTTCACTGACCTAGAAATAACATAGTTCAATCTGGATTGGGACCATATTTAGAGCGGATAAAAGATTTTATGGTTTCGAACAAAGTAAGACTGAGTTTGAATAGTATTATGTACTAACGGTGAACATGTTATTGTTAAGATGTATAAACTTTTGCTGAAATATGAGGCAGAAGAAGAAGTGAAATATTGTATGATAAAATGGGCTAAAAATTTGGCTATAATATGCAAATGGCTAAATTAACGTCCTTGATCAGAGAAAAGACAGTATCTACATTTATGGCTGACTGGAAACCCCTTATAGACTTTTTGCATGAAACAGGAAAAAAATGCACTTATGACTTGTGGTTTTGATTAGAAAAAAAAATTGGATAATAGAAAAAAATGCCCTTTTTTGTAATCATAGAGTAAGAGATAACTTTGCAATCATACTTATATTTGCTGCAAAGAAAATCGGAATAGTATTATGTACTAATGTACTAAGAGTACTCTTTCTATTCCTTTTTATTTCTTTTTGCACTTTTTTCTTTTTTTCTTTTTCTCTCTTTCTTTGTTTCCTTTATTCTGTATTAGTTTGTGTTAGTTTTTATGTTCGCTTTAAAACTTTTTAAAATTTTTATTTAAAAAAAGACATAATCAGAGTGCACATTGAACCATCTAGAAGCGAGAGCACCTTCCAGAGAGAAAGTTCTCTAGAAGACACAATGACGCAGGTCCTGGGCATAAAAACAATGTACTGGTAGAAAAGGGAATAAGCAAGAAGGAGCCCAGGCTAACTGTGGTCTGAATTCCCAGAGAAAGAAGCAAGTTACAGATAACTATGTGTAATAAAGGACAAGGTTGTTCTTATCTTAAATCAGTCATTGTTCCTAATATGGTATGCAGGAAGGTGAGTTAATGATGTCTGTAACCCACTTGATAAAATGCTTGCTCGCTTGCTAACTTTTGTCTTCTCCTAAGAGAACATCAAAGCCTTCTTCGGCTGTTGGTATTCTGGTTAATTGGGATTAAGGATAAAGTTTTCCTATATTGTTTCTAAGAAGAAATTTGCCCTACCCTCAGTGCTCCTTCTTTCTTTTCACAGATCATTCAGATCACCTCCACGCCACCACCGTTTCCACCATCCCACAATTCCTCACAAAACAGTTTGAACCCAACTCACAATCATCTTCACTTCTGCCAACCTGAAACCATGGAGAATGTGGTAGAAACACCATCAGTCAATCAGCGCTCATTCTCCAGTTGGCTCACAGGAGAGTGCAAAAACATAATTTAATCATTGACCTTGTCCTCATTGTCCTCATCTTTTCTCTGTACAGAAAGGGGAGGAAATGGGTAATGACCTGTCACCGTCCATGATTTTCAGTACTTATTTGCATGCATTTGTTAGGTAATTTGCCAAAACACCTGAGGGATTGCCATGATAGGAAGTTACAGGAGACAGCTATGAACAAAAATGTAAATAAAAGCATTGAAAAGTTGTTGCATTATAACACCCCATCACATGCTAGGCATTTCTGTTAGTGCAGACTAGTAAAATCAGTTG